CCACACACAAATCTAATTCAATTGCAATAGAAATATTTTATGATTTTATTTTTTATTATTTATTGCAAAACTTTGCAGCCCTTTTCTGTCTCTATCCATGATATTGATCCATAATAGAAGGATGATTGGATGAGGGATGGATGTATGGATATCTATCTATACAAATGCACAAACAATATCAAAAACTACTAATAAAATAGTACTGAATTATGTATGTTACAGACGTGTTACACAACTAACCCCTCTGTCTGTTACAATTAACCCCGCATATGGGGTAAGTTGTAACATTTGCACTTCTGTTACTTTCAGTGCAACTGTACGAAAATGGTAGGTCCTAGAATAAAACTTTAAGTGTTCATTTGTAGCAGAGATGTGTTGCTTGTGTAAAAAAAAGTTGAATCTAACTTAATTTTTTTAATAATTGAGCCAAAATCAAAATGTGTTAGGTTCTGCCCTGCTCTCCCCTAATATATTTTTCTTTTCACGTCGTTCACAGTATGTGTTCACAAAACCAATTTTATATATGTATCCTGCTGTTTATATAAACAATATTTAATCTTTTAGTTTTAGTTGACAGCATACACACAAAAACGCACACTTAAGGACACATCATTGAGTTCATTCAAGGTGTTTTATTAAGTACACAATCCACAATTCAGAAACATATAGAAACAAAACCTTCAAATAAGGTCAGTTACAAAACAGAAATCTGTGCTCCAAACAACAGATTTCCTCGTGGAAACAAGTAACAAATCAATTGTTCATTTGGATTGAATTCAGCAACAACTATGAAAGAGATCGAAACAGGGCTGAGAGATACGGTGGCATTTGTAGACTTAACGATTGATGTACAGCTTGTCAGTAAAATTTATATTACTCAAGCATTTTAGCAGCACCCATTTGATATTTCAGGAAACATCACATTTTGCACACTGGATTGAACACAATTGTGCGTTGCCTATCATTTCCTATCATTTCCACACACAAAATAAGAAAAAAAAAGAAAAGAAAATCTGATTTAAATGAAGATTAATTAATAAACCCTTTTCAGTGCACATGATCTCATCTAACCCATTTTAATTAGATAAAGTAATCAGACTGTTTATTTCATGGAGGATTAAAGGGTTGCACATTGTAATCTCAGAAGGACGATCAGCTACAGGTGGCACCGTTATCCTTTACCGTATGCATTTATTCATCTATTAATAACTGGAGAACTGTTGCTTTATGTGAAAAAACACTATTTTAGGAGTTAGGATAAGACCTTTAAAGGGTTAGTTCACCCAAAAATGAAAATTAAGTCATTAATTACTCACCCCCTTGCTGTACCAACCCCCTAAGACCTCCGTTCATCTTCGGAACACAACTGAAGATATTTTTGATTAATTTTGAGAGGTGGATCACTGCTACATAGGCTGCCTAAGGGATTGAAACTTGACGGCCCAGAAAGTCATTGATGAAAATGTTTAAATATTCCATGTGACTACAGTGGCTCAACTATGTTTATCAAGTGACGAGAATACTTTTTGTGCGAAAAAAAAACAAACAACTTTAATAACGACTTTATTCGACTATTCCTTTTCTTCCTTGTAGGCCTGAGACTGAGAGTTCAAGAGATTTCCACAACGCATGCGTGAGAATTTCGATTTTCTTCGACTCTACTTCAGTTCAGTTCTGGCACATGCGTCGTGGAAATCTCTTGAACTCTCGTCTGTTGTCACATGGAATATTTAAAAAAAAAATTCTTCATTGACTTTCTGGGCCATCAATTTTCAATCTCTTAGGGTGCCTATGTGGTAGTAATCCAGCTCTCAAATTTAATCAAAAATATCTTAATTTGTGTTGCGAAGACGAACGAAGGTCTTACGGGGTTGGTACAGCCCACATGGTGAGTAATTAATGACTTAATTTTCATATTTGGGTGAACTAACCCTTTAAATTGACTAAAGCATTGCCATCCACCATATAATCAGACAAGCTTTCGCTCGTTTAAGTCGAATATAAAATGAATATTTGACAGAAATTATAGACTAAAACATTGTTGATAGGGCAATCAATATAGTGACGCAATTGTAATCACTATGAAATGAGGCTTTTCTCTTTTTCGTTTGACTGTGATAACAGTTTTTAATCACATTACTGTATAACATTCACTATTCAAATGAATTCAAGGGACGCTCTGCAAAGCTTGTCGAGCAACAGCAGTTAAGGGGGCAGAGCTAAGCAAAGTTACTACATCATGTTTCATATGGCTAATTAGATTGATTGCGATAAACTGAAAAGTTGTCCTTTAACAATCTTTCCCTTGTTAGCAGAAGCGGCCCTGATTTCTCATGCTGCTCTGTGTATAAACGTTGCTTATAGGATTGGTGCCTTTGCACAGATCCTGAGTTACAGCTGCATGTGTTGATGTGGTTTGTCCTGATGGTGCAGGTACGAGGGATGGATGGCTCGCCTGCCCTTTTGCCTTTGCCAAATGCTAATCCTGTTTATACGTCCACGTAAGCAGCTAGCAGTGATTAGGAGCCGCGACTCTTCTTATTCCTGAGAGATTAGTACGGCTTGTGCAGCGGGTGTCAAACAGCCCTGGCAGCACACGTGGAGTTGTAATCGCTTGAAGCTCCCCTTAACTATCATCCTAGACCAGTTTTGTACTTAAAGAGGAAGGAAAAGCTTACCCTATATGAGGGTTAAAACTAAAGAATGGCTTTTTGGGAATACGACGGTGAAGGAAAACAGATTAAATGCATAATCTCATTTAACTGTCCATGCCGAAATGAGGGATTCGTCATGAGTCAGGGATTTAGAGGAAAACCTGGGTTGGCAAACCTGGGCTTTGATGACTGTGGGCGCCGTGATTTCTGGCAGTCGCTCAGAGAGCATTCTGGGACATTTGATGATCATTCGAAAGGGATTAGAATGATTCTTTTTCCTGAGCTAAGCGGGAATGAACTTCACTCTGTTGTATTAATATGGAGATCTCGGTAGGGTGAATGTGATTCTACCAAGTACAACATTGAAATCAACCAATCAGATTTGAGTTTACAGTTTATGTGAAGTTTAGTCGTACAACCAGGGATAGTTGCTTCGGTCACCATGATTCTGACACGTTCCTGAATCAACATGTTTCGATATTATTCTGATTTTCCTGTATTGTATACATCTTGATAAACATGTTCGTAAAATACTCACTGTTATCAAATTAGTTTAGGACTCTATAAAACATGGGCAAACTTTCAACTGGCTTTTGCAAAGATACCATACACAAAACAGTAATTGTACAAACACTTAAAACATGTCATTTGAAAAGGTAATTAAAAAAAAAAAATCTTACACCTGAGACATTTTTTTTTCTCCCACATGCACTGGTCCACTTTGTTTTTCTGGCAGTTTAAATTGACACGACTGAAATATCAGCAGTTAATATCTTCATCTCACTGGCAGTAGATTAACAAACAGCAGGCTGGTTACTTGCACATAAAGTCTCCATAAAATCTTTTTGTTAGTGAAAATTTTCTACAAAATTATCTGGCAGTGACTACAGGGTGCATGTAACCATAAAAATACGTCCCTCACGTCAAAAGTTTGTGCTGAAATTCAAGCGTTGCATACGTTTGTAACAAGATTGCAGTTAAAAACCCGCTACAGTCTTTTGATTCAATTTTGGCCCATTAAAGCCTCAAGAATTTGCCACTTTTGACCAGTTTTCTAATCTAACCATGCTGTTTACTTGTCCCTGCTTTTGTGTTTCATAAAAAAAGAGAGGGAAAAGAATAGTAAAAACATGCTTTCCATATCAGTCATTCATGCTTTACAGTAAACAACCCATTCACTGAAACCCAATTCGTTATGAAGTTGCATATAACTTTGGCAAGTAAAGCTACATTTTCACTTCATAATTCTGGTCTTTAAATACCCCCTGCGGTCAAACCTCATATTACAGCACGGTATAAAAGAGTAACACACATAGACATAATTCACAAGCTGGAATAAAGAAAAAGAAGAAACAAAAATTGGACATTTCCACTTTTTTCGTCTAGTATTTAAACTCGGATATAGGATTTCTGAAAATAGACTGAGGAGAAGAGTGGATTAATGCAAGCACATGAAGAAGTTCTCACTTGGGGAATCAATCTTCATAATCTCTGAACTGCACTTGAAAATAATAAGCTTTTAAAAGGTGCCCTTTGACGCTGCATAGTTACAGACAGAGGTTATGATTTGGTAGAGATACTATATCCTCAGATCAGGATAAAAGAACTGGGAATTTCAGGAGAAGGTACAGCGTACTAAAAAGAGACAGATATAGGACGTGTTTGGTCCCAATAGAAGGGATGCCTTTCCTTTTTACCTCACCCAATAATGGCTATATAACATGTTAAACTGGATACGATCAAACTTGAACCGTTCGTTCAGCCGTTGCACATTGTTATTTTTTTGTTGTTGTTCTGATTAAAATGAGTTTCTTCCTAGATAGATGCACTGCAAAAATAATGTTTTAAAATAGTATTTTTGTCTTGTTTTTCATATTAGCCAATCGGGTCATGGGGTCTATAGGCCCCCAATTGACTTTTACTTAATAAAAAAAAAGGTTCCCTTCATCTCAGTGGAAAAAGATTTTGTGACTTTTCACACATTATCTATCTATACACACACAAAACTGGGCTTGATTCGGTTGTTCTGAAGTACAGTATGTAAAAAAAAATGTTTACACTTCTGATCTTCAGGGTCAATATGACCCCACATTGAAATGAATGATAAATGTGAAAAAAAACTAAGAAAAAAAAAATCCGGCATAAATCTGACATTTTTAAACAGAAATGAAGGCCTAGTACTAGAGCATAAAATGCAATGTATCATAAAAAATAATATTTCATATGCAAGCTAATGGTGTAGTTGAGGAATTGTGTGGTATATGGAACACAGCATTAATGAATAGATGAGAAGTAAACAAAAAATGATATATTATTTGTATGATTAAAAATGAATATTTTTTGTACAATTACTCAATCAGTTGTTGGGGAGCCCAGAAGTGTAAACAGGAAACGAAGACCATTTGAAGGTTAAAACAAGATTAACTGAATTTGTTTAAGAGAATACGTTTCACTGGCATTTTTTCCAAACCTTTTTTTTAAATATTTAGTTGTATGCTACAAAAATACTGTTTAATAAATCATTTTTTTAGAGTGCATACACGACATCCAAAATTAACTTTCCGTCATGCTGGCAAATGCCGGTGTTTGTTTGTTTGTTTTAAAGACAGTTTATGTCTTTAAATTGCATCATCACTTCATCATGTTTCAGATTATCGCAGTCTTCCACAGTTCCTAATAAACTGGCAAGCAGCTTCATTTATGTACTTGCCAATTGCATTTGCCGCTCGATGCGAGTTAATTTAGCACCCTGGCTGTAAATGTAAGCATAGAAATCCTGGTTCTCATCTTGGGAGCAACAGGGTTGCATGTGCAGAAAAGCTTCAGAAATGTTACGGATCATTTACGAGTTGCTTACATTCACAGTAAAACAAATGCGAGGCCTCATAAATGCGAGGCCCATTTTATACCTCTCATTCAATTTAGATGTGAACGACGATATCCATGCTCACGCTGACTTCTGGCCTGAATCAGAATTGCGGCTGAACTGTCCAGCTAAACATAAACGCACACTTTCCTGTGAACGACTTTTCTATAAGACATGCCTAAGTCTATGAACTCTGCAGTTTCCTCTCTTTCTCTCTGTCGGTGTTTTCTGCGTCTGCGGTATGTCAGCGAGCTGGCCTGTGTTAGTTGACTCTGTTCTGTCTACCCTGGGTTGCTTTTTATGTGCACGTGCAGAAGTTAGTCAGGGCGGTGTAGGCACAAGTGCTTTCTTTAGTGGGCCTAAGCTGCTGTAATATTGGCTGAAAGACAACTGAATGTAATTTGTGTCTTTTGTTAGAGACGGTACACCCTGCTTTATCCCACACTGTGTAAACAAAGGCACACAGGGGATCACAGCTACATACACGCACATACTCCTCATTGATCTTATTTAGGATGGACCAATCCAAAAGGCTCACTTTCCCAGCTCTAATGTCCTTCCCACAGTGAGTTTCTCCCTTTATCCACTCTTCCCATCCCACAAAGTGCAATGCAAACGTATATTTTTTCGTCTTTTCTTACTTATAAAGGCATGCTGATAAACACGTGACGAGAAGAAAAAGCTAATAAAACACTGTAAATTATTCCTTTTTCCTAATAACACACACTGAACATCGATTTTTCATTTCAAAAGTCATTTGACAGATAAAGCTTTGTAAACATGCCTTTGAAACATACCTTTATGCTTTCTGATAATAAATTCATCTGATAGAAACATCCGGACACAATTTTTTTTTCTCAATCGTTTGTACGGGTGTCCTCACCAAGCATCTACATTATCATAACAAACAAGATTTCCTTTGTTAATCACATTCACCAGAAAGACCATGCTGGTTACCAAGCATATTTCGTTTCCGGTGCGTCTAAAATCGCATACTGACCAATAAAAAAAGTGCGTTCTATATAGTATGAATGTATGTAGTATGAATGAAATTCTGACGTGCCAAATCCGCCATTGTTACTTTTTACGTGAAAGTTGCGTCGCTTCACTGGCATTCATAAATCCTCTTTTGTGGCGGTTAAAGTGTCCATCGAATGCACACTTCATTCATCATACATACTACTCTTTTGGCATACAGTTTTTGGCATACTATATAGTGGAGAAGTATTCGATTTCAGACACAGCTGCTCCACCAACAATAATCAACATAAACCAGCCTTGGACCAGCATGGAAATAATCTAACTTTGTAATAATCATTTAACTTTATATTTTAAATAATGATCTGGAACAAAAAACAGTCATTTAAGTTGATGGCACCAACTTTTTCGCAAAAAAAATAACGTATAATAATAAAATGAACAAAAAGGAATCTAAATTCTTTCAACTTTGGTCACATACATCCATATAAACACACATTCATGCACCACAAGAGAGAGGAATACTTGACTGGAACACGCAAGAGTCTTCGTGGAAGGGCACAATTTGCGCAGAGGTAATAATCATCTCCTAGTCTCGTACGACAACCAGAGAGCGATTACAAAAACGATGCTAATATTTGTTCAATCATACATCAAAGTGAAGGTGCCACTGCTGTAACAATGTTTATACCTCACCCGTTGTTTGTTTTAGGCCGATTCACTGCCAGGAGAGCAAACCTAAACAGTATTCCTCTTCTGGCACCATCTCAGTGACAACGGTTGAGAAAAAGTGGTCATGCTACGCTCTCCTGCTAAATATCCTTCTTGGTCATTCCTCTTTCCTCAAGGTCTGAGAGTGAGAAAAGTGGGAAAACAACCCCAGATTCGTTTGTTTCCATAACATTCTGCGTTTGACGTCCATCATCTCCTAGTATCATACCTCACGCTCTTCGCCCTTCCACCGATGCTTGTGGTCAGTTTGAGACTTTCAAATCCCTCCATGCCTCGTCTTCACGTGCTGTTCCAGAAGCCTGGCATTGTGCAAACTTCCTCAAACATTGTCATACGCAATAAACAGGGAGGGAGTGGCTTGTGGGAAAGGGGTGTGGCTGTGTGGAGCCACTCCCTCTTCACCATTATAAACATTTGCACAAGTACCTTGTAATTTTAGCATTCCACTCTCCACTCGACTCCTTGTGACGCCATATTTGGATGAATGGAGATCAGACATAAGCAGACTCACTGGACTGGGTCCTGCCCAGGTTTGGCGGTTGTGACAGGTGGGCCATGTCCTTTTTACGGATCTCACAGATGGACTTCCTGCGGGCTTGCACACCTCGAATGGCGGCCTTAATTTTCCTCCAGCCGAGGTGGTTGAGCTCGGCAAGGTTGAGCACGACGCAGATCCCGCTCACGGCAAACATGAACACCAGGAAGACCGTCTTCTCGGTGGGCCGTGATACGTAGCACTCCACCTCCTTCAGGCAGGGGTAGCGGTCACACTCAAAAATGCCAGGAACGCTGAAGCCGTATAAAAAGTACTGCCCCGCCAAGAAGCCTATCTCGAGTGCATTGCGGAAAACCACCTGGATTATGTAAAAGCGAGAGATTCCCTCTTGTCGGCGTACCTTGGAGTTCCTGCCATGCAGGAGGCCTCTAGGAGCATTTGGGATCTCCTTTACCTCTAAGCAGTCAGCTTCGTCCTTTCCGCCACCACTGTCAGAATGCTGCACCAAAATACCATTGATGTTGCGTAGTTTGCGGGTACCCTCACGACTGTAGTCCTTCTCCATGATTGGGTAGAGGAAGGAGTAGCGACGGTCGCGCTGTTTGGCCGACTGGTGCACTGAATAGGTGATGAAGCACAAGCTGGGTGTGCAAACAAGGATGATCTGGAAGACCCAGTACCGGATGTGGGAGATGGGGAAGGCCTTGTCGTAGCAGGCCTGGTTGCACCCAGGTTGGAGGGTGTTGCAGATAAACATGGTCTGCTCATCCTCATACACTGTTTCACCAACAATGGCCACAATCAGGATACGGAATATCACCACGACTGTCAGGAGAATCCTGGAGGAGAGAAAGAGAGGGACAATTTGATGTGTGATGTTAACAGAGCACAGACAAAACCTTCCACTGATTTTGGCTACCAGCTAATTGACCTATGGCTAAGCGACGCCCTCAAACGCAATGAGCCAATCACAGCGCGCAGCTAACCCAATACACTCGGACATTCTCTGCTTCCAAGTCCATTGAAATGCATTGCAGTCAATCAGTTTTCATTCGTTTTTTCTTGTAATTTTAAGTTTAAAATGGTCAAACGGTGTACATGGTATACATGCAACACCGACACTAGGTTCCCGAGAGGCTGGGCGATGGTGTGTATTTTTTTTACCCTGTCCCAAGCCACATCTCAACCGAGATAAGTGTCTACTCTGGATTAAAGGGTTAGTTCACCCAAAAATGAAAATTCTGTCAGTATTTACTCACCCTCATGTTGTTCCAGCCCCGTAAGACCTTCGTTCATCTTCGGAACACAAATTAAGATATTTAAGATATTAAGATCGCTTCTGCATACAGTCCGTACACTCTCAGAAAAAAAGGTACAAAAGCTGTCACTGGGGCTGTACCTTTTCAAAAGGTACACTTTTGGCCATTTTAGGTACTAATATGTACATTTTATGTGCTAATATGTACATTTTAAGTGTTGATATGTTCATTTTAGGTACTAATATGTACATTTTATGTGCTAATATGTACATTTTATGTGTTGATATGTTCATTTTAGGTACTAATATGTACATTTTAAGTGTTGATATGTTCATTTTAGGTGCTAATATGTACATTTTAAGTGTTGATATGTTCATTTTAGGTGCTAATATGTACATTTCAGGTGCTAATATGTACATTTTAAGTGTTGATATGTTCATTTTAGGTACTAATATGTACATTTTAAGTGTTGATATGTTCATTTTAGGTACTAATATGTACATTTTAAGTGTTGATATGTTCATTTTAGGTGCTAATATGTACATTTCAGGTGCTAATATGTACATTTTAAGTGTTGATATGTTCATTTTAGGTACTAATATTTACATTTTAAGTGTTGATATGTACATTTTAGGAGCTAATATGTACATTTTAAGTGTTGATATGTTCATTTTAGGTACTAATATTTACATTTTAAGTGTTGATATGTTCATTTTAGGTGCTAATATGTACATTCCAGGTACTAATATGTACATTTTAAGTGTTGATATGTTCAATTTAGGTGCTAATATGTACATTTTAAGTGTTGATATGTACATTCTAGGTGCTAATATGTACATTTTCTGTGCTAATATGTACATTTCAGGTGCTAATATGTACATTTCCAGTGCTAATATGTACATTTCAGGTGCTAATATGTACATTTTAAGAGTTGATATGTTCATTTCAGGTGCTAATATGTACATTTTCGGTGCTAATATGTACATTTCCAGTGCTAATATGCACATTTCAGGTACTAATATGTACATTTTAAGTGTTGATATGTACATTTAAGTTGCTATTATACCACTAAGGTACCAATATGCACCCTTAAGGTACAAAAATTTACCTTTTGAAAAGGTACAGCCCCAGTGACAGCTTTTGTACCTTTTTTTCTGAGAGTGTAGGCTTCTTGAGGGACTGGCTCTTGCTGTCCCCGAAAAGTCATTAAAGACATCGTTAAAATAGTCCAAGTGACTACAGGGGCTCAATCTTAAGTTTATCAAACGACGAGAACACTTTTGTGCGCAAAAAAACAACAAAAATAACGACTTTATTTCAACTATTCGTTTATTTCTCCCTCTGCGCGAGTCAGGTTAGTTTAATAGCGTAAGCTTCTGTTATTGTACGTCACACGCATCACACACACATGACCAGCGTCGGCCAATAGTGAGCCTACGTGTGACGTCGCTCTACGCAATCACACTACGTTAACTGACTACAGGCCCATGGAGAAGGAAGTGAATAGTTGAAATAAAGTCGTTATTTTTGTTGTTGTTTTGCGCACAAAAGTGTTTTCGTCATTTGATAAACTTAAGATTGAGCCCCTGTAGTCACTTGGACTATTTTAACGATGTCTTTAATGACTTTTCGGGGACAGCAAGAGCCAGTCCCTCAAGAAGCCTACGGACTGTATGCAGGAGCGATCTTAATATCTTAAATATCTTCATTTGTGTTCCGAAGATGAACGAAGGTCTTACAGGGTTGGAACAACATGAGGGTGAGTAAATACTGACAGAATTTTCATTTTTGGGTGAACTATCCCTTTAAGTTATGCAGTAGACCACAACACCAACCAAACGTGGATAAATTAAACAAGGATGTCTACATTTGTTTTAAGTTAAGTCAACAACGTTAGCCTAACATTAGAAAACGTTAACGTTAGCTGCTAGCTGCGTTGTACATCATGTCACTTAGCTTCTTTATCGTATCTGTAAATAGCTGAAATAACAAACGTTAACAATGTTGTGCTGAATGATTCATGTAAATCTGTAGCACCAAACGGTGATGGCAACGATATGTGGGTTATCACATTTACATGTGACCTGTACATTTTTGCTTGGAGCTTTTCATCGACCTTCTCAACAATAAAATTATTAATATAACCCTCCAATGCATAGCTAAGGCCCTTTAGGTGACTTCGAGATGATATATAATCTTTCTGTCTCCAAAAATCACCAATTGCCTCCTGTGAAATGTCTCCTACTGTGACCGCTGCCATAGCGCCTGTCCCCGAATGTTGACTGTTTGTCCGAGTGAGTGGAGGAGGCGTGGCTTAGCCATAGTCAATTAGCATTGCAGATGTTCACATTTGCTATTCAAATGTGCGTTTTTCCCTTTCAAGAGCAGCTTTGCACATTTAATCAAGAGCTCTAATTTGGAAACAATTCTGCTCTCTCGAGCTCTAATTATAGCTCCTTCTGTGCTATTAAGCACTGTTAACATGGTAACCTGTACTGCTGGTACTGTAACCTGTGGCAATGCTAGTCTATGTAATGCTCATTAATTTGGTGGCATAATGGCTGTAAAATATGTTCTCTTCCCCTTTTCCATAGCAACAGTTTAGATTTGACACCTCAGCTGTCACTATACCATTAGGGCTATTTCTGTACCAGTATGTGATTGAGGGAAAGAGCGAGAGATGGGTAAAGAGAGAGATCACATATGTTTGTAAGAGAAGGAAGGAGTTAAACACTTTGGACTTACACACTTACATTTAAGATGATTGGCTCTTATTTTTAGGTTCTGTAATTTAGCACCTGTGGATTATTCTATGAGATATGGTGTGCTTTTCAACCACATCCTCTTTAACCACAAATGTTTAGGCTTGAAAGGTTAGGCACATTTATATATTCAATGCAGTCATGATTTTGTCTGGAAATTTAATCCTAACCATATCCCTAGCCCTAAACCTAGGTGAATAACACCAATGTATTTGGTTAGGTACCTAACCCTGGTTGTAAACCTAAACTTGACATAAAAAAAACTTGTCCCTCAAATCTGATTGGTTGATTGGAATGTTGTTCCAGGATCAACAAAGATGTCGATCCAGGAACATGTTGCATTTTGTGAAATCTGGTTTCTGCATAGTCAACTAAATTGGTTTTCAAATCTGATCTAGCACTAACAATCACTCTGTCCTTCTGCAACTGATGAAATCTGGGGTGCGTTTCTCGAAGCCAACTATGGTTAACAACACAAATCAACAGAACTTGCGACCATAGTTGGCTATGCTTTTGGGAAATGCAACCCAGCAACTCTTGTTTGGAGAGCCTATCTTGATACCCATTATATAGAATTGTCACCATATCAATGACTTTAGCATTACCACCACCTCCGAAGGAGATAAAAGAGTACCTGTCAGACTGGAAAGAAAAAATAAATTGGAAATTTTGACATCTTGCCATTGTGCTGAACTCATGAGGCACATTAGACACTGGTGTATTATGCACGATATGTCTAATCGATATGTCGAATATAGAGACCCAGCATTAACACTACTGTGATCTGCATTTGTTAACGGTCGGTCTTGTCATGTTCTGAATGACAACATCAAAAAATTGCTTGCAATAAAATATGACTTACTTAAATGCAATTCAAAAACTCTAATAGGCCCATTTTTCTTGTTAACATAGATAAAGTTAGTGAAAAAAAAAAAACCCTTTTCGCTTTGCAATCTGACGACAGACAACCAGATGGATTGAAACAGATATTTTATGCCTCCCTGAACAAAACTACATGCATTACCACAAAACCTGACAAAATGTACAAAGCACATTTCAAATAAAAGACACGTTTGTGTACATTTTCTAAGTCATGGCAGCATTACTTCATCAAATAATAGTAAAATGATGGCAAATGGAGATATACTCTGGCACACATCATCACGTACTTTCTGGTAAATGTGATCACTTCCTTTTTCTAACTCACAGTTGGCCTGTGTAATGCCTGACACCTTAAAGGAGTAGTTCACTTTAAAAAAAATCTTTCGCTGATAATTTACTCACCCCAAGATGTCATCCAAGATGTCCACGTCTTTCTTTCTTCAGTTGAAAATAAATTAAAGTTTTTGATGAAAACATTCCAGCATATAATGCACTTCACTGGGAACCAAAAGGTTCAACGTCCAAATGAGAGTTTCAGTGCAGCTTCAAAGGGCTTTAAAGGACACCAGACGATGAATAAGGGTCTTATCGGCCCTTCGAGTCATGACTCGGAAAAAGATTTGTTCATTTTGATGAACGAGTTTGAACGCTCAGAGTCACGAACGCAGCATTTGTGCTTATAAAACTTAAACTTTTTTATTTAGTTTTTAAATGAGCGATCGTTTCGCTAGATAAGACCCTTATTCATCGTCTGGTGTCGTTTAAAGCCCTTTGAAGCTGCACCGAAACTCTCATTTGGACCTTGAACTGTTTGGTTCCCATTGAAGTCCTTTATATGGAGAAAATCCTGGAATGTTTTCGTCAAAAACCTTAATTTCTTTTTCAAAAGTTTTTTTAAAAGTGAACTACTCCTTTAAGTCATCAAACAATTAAAAA